ATTTTAACATACACATTTTGTCATCAAAAACTGATTAAGCGTAAGTATTTACACATATACCTAAAATACAGACCTATAGGGAGCCAGATGTGTTATTTCTAGTTTTCTTTCAGACCATGGGATGGTGACATAAACAGCGTTTTACTACGTTACAAACCCATTATCTATTTGCTTACTTTATAATGTCGTAACAGCTCCACGTACAAAGAAGAATATAGTCCTGGTTTATAATCCTTATAATTTCCCAGGGGATAAAAGATTTCGCGCGTCTGCCTCGACATCTTATTCCTGTCTGTTTACCCATGCCATAAGAAACGCAATTACTTTTTTGAAACTCTCCGTGTTTTTGCACTGAACAATAGTACGGCGCACGGTATGTTTCGGTTTTTCAAGTAGGTCATTGTGTGATTGATTTGACTAGAGAAACAAATCGCATATTAATCTTTAAAACGAAACATTTATGCGCACCATACACGTAATGGTAAAGGATGAGTACAGTTCAGTATTATTTTTAAGTAATTAGCTTGACACTAAAAAATGACTTGTTTCTTAACGTTTACTGGCCGTTATTTTATGATATTATTTCCATAAAATGATGAATTTATATCCAGATAGATATCTCAATTTCCGTCCGAGATTTAGAAAAAGAACATAAGAAGTTTTAAAGAAAGTTTTGAACAATACCTCCAAACTTTCAATCGGAAGCGTTTGTTTGAAGTTAAGCAGAAAGCTGCACAATGGGCTATCTGTGCTCTGCCCATCACGGGTATCAAAACCCGTTTTCTTGCGTTGTAAGTCCGCAGACATACCGCTGTGCCACTAGGGAGCCAATCAGAAGCTAATCATTTTTTGTGATGAGCCCATTAACAAAAAGTGCACGAACGCAAGTTAGCGATGATTAGGTTTGGTTTTTAAGTTATTGATCAATATGAAGAATTATAATCAAATTTAATTTCATAAATATCTAAAAGTTTTCGTTGCACGCTTTGATTCTGGTGGAATTATTTAATATTTCTTTGTTATAAGAATATGTTTCACCTTTTCTTTTTGTAACGTCTTTAGGACTAGTTTGTTGTGTCATTGGATATTACATCACAAACTATGTCCTTCTAGGTCTCTTAACGTATTACAAAATTCATATATGTTTAATTGATTTTGGTTTTATTCAAGAAGTCCGTCCGCTATTTTTGACCTCCAAATATAACCTCAAGTAAACTGCCTTTCTAGTTGCTGCCCGTTTTGACTGTTTCTGTTTTACCATCGATCTTTTGGGCTTTAGTGCCCAATAATTTATGTTCATGGAGTTGATGACCCAACGGCTACGTGAGAAGATGAAACTGACGCTATCCAGTTTATACTAAGTGTGATTGGTTCAGCTTGCAAAAGAGATAACGCTTTTCAAGTCAGTGGCAGTTCTGATGTCAGATTAGACTTCAGTTACTTCACAACCGCGACACAGCTTGACCTTCTGACCTGTAGTTGTATAAATGGGTGTATATTTTCATACGTTTCACAGGTATGTCAAGTCTATCTCTTGACAGTTAGTTATTTCCCTTTTCTGTAATTGTTGAAATGTATTTTGATTACCGTTTCCTCTCTCTGTAATCTGAGTTAATAAACACTGATGTATTCGTTGTCAGATCCAGCAACATACACACTTAATAACCAAATCCATAAGCCTCTAATTATTATGGATCTTACCTTGTAATTCATTGATTTACCATAAAAATATTATAATGTAAAAGAAAAAAGTTTTGCTGTTATTCAAAGAAGTGTATTACTAATGGCATGTTTATCGTTTGGTAACATCCAAAATTTGTTATTGTGTTGAAATTTAAACTGATGTAGATAGTGTCGAGTTTTTAAACCTCTCTGTTAAATATGTATTACATGAAATGTGATTTTTCACCAAACACAACTTGTGAGATCAATTTTTGACTGTATATTAAATAAATTCACATGTTAAAATTGCTAATATTGCGTTAAATCTAATGTCCATATGGACGGGTAGCAAGATAATTGAAAGTACACACACACACACACACACACACACAAGGCGACTGGTTGCCACGTGGTAGTAAATTTTGCAGTTACTAGTCGTAAATGGTGCATGAACCATTAGGTTTTAAGACATCATTTGACAATAAAAGAGTATCCAATTAGAAGTTTTGGCATTATCTAATGCTTAATTCACATAATTTACACTCGTCCTCTTAATACCTTTTTGGGGTATATATATTTTAGTAACCCAGTCCTTACTAAACTCTGAAGACCTACCTTCTTTAAAGCACCAATGCTAAGTATAAAGACAACTAAATTCTTATAACAGACCTTAAGAGACTGCTAAAAATAACATAAATTATGTTTTCAGTTGTTTTGTGAGTACATAAGAAAAATTATTTTACTTTTTGATAACCATATTCTGGCCAATGTTGAATCCATACTCTTGGTAAGCACACCAAGACAGACAGACTACTCAACATTTTACAGAAACTTTCAAACGTTTTTTGTTTGTTTGCGCTTTAAAGTTACCATTTAAAATCACTATTTTTATGCTACTTTAACATTGAATTTCACTCAAACGATTAAGGATCACTACGAGAAAAACAAGATCTGAAGTAATTTTTTTTTCGCTAAAGGTTGCAACCAGGAACGAGGTATTCTGTTGAAAAAATAACACTTAAAACAGCCATTATTTTTAATTTACGAATAAAAAAATAAGTGTACATTCAATAACGTATTTAAAAAAAAAACGCCACGTTTCTATTTAAAATGCCGTTGGTAGTTCAGTGGTAAGCCTGGGGGCTTAAAACATTAAAATTCACATTTCGGTATCCGCGGTAGGCATAGTGCAGGTATCCCGTTGTGCAGCTTCGTTCCTAACAGTAAACAAACAAACAAAAAAGATAAACAATTCAAAACTTGCCATCTCAGGAAATATTTGACAAGTTTTTTTATATACATTATTCAAGAACGGTTCATTGACGTCGTAAAACGAAATCAGTCTCCGCAGTTATTAGATGTTTGTCAGAAAACGTGTTGCAGTAGTTTGAAATTCAACTAGAATATTTGAGGTGAGAGTGAATACTATTGGCCTGGCACGGCCTGGGGATTAGGATGCTCGAGTTGCAACTTGCGGGTCGCGGGATCGAATACCGTGGCCAAACATCCTCGCCCTTTCAGTTGAAAGGACGTTATAATGTGACGGTTAATCCTACTATTCGTTGGTAAAGAACAACCCAAGAGAATTAACGTGGGACAGCGGTAAATTTACGGAGCTACAATGTTAAAGTCTGGGGTTCGATTCCCCGCTGTGGACACAGCAGATATCACAACGTGGCTTTACCCTAAAATAAACAAACATGTTTAAAATGTAATCAATTTTTCTAATAACTCTTTAAAATAGGGTCAACGGGGCTTCTAATTATCAAATTACAATCTATGCTAATTACATTTAGGAAACTTTGCTAGTACATTAACAAGTAATGTAAAAAAATAGTATCACGAAAAGTGTATGTGAGTTCCCACCTTAACAATCAGCAAAAAGTAACAAGTAACCACATTTTCAAAGTGTCTTCCTTATACCTAAGCATTGGAAAGAAAGTACGTTCTCCGCTAAGAAAATTGTGACTATCCCTCACTGGTGACTGACTATATATAAAAGACAATTGGACACCTGTTAAGATGCGACAGGCATCAGAATGGGTCCCAATTATTTTAAAATGGCTAGCATCCTACTTTCTCTAACCGACAACAGGAAGGACATTACAAAAATGTCAGAAGTCAACCAGTTCAAACACCCCATTCTAAAGATTAAGCAGGACAGAAGAGCTTCTTAGGATTTTCGAACACAAATTGTGGACATCCACTGACTGGAAGCATCTAATGTAAAATAAAAACAAAGACGGAAAACATTGTTAAAAATAATTGACAATGCTCTAGTTGTTACTGGAAGTGGTGTCATTGTATGATAAAATTTTCATAGCAGGGGTTGAGTCCTTTCATGCTTTTAGAAGATCGATTAATATATAGAATGCTGTATTTATAAAGTGCTGTACAAGCACACATCCAAGACGATGCTTCAATAATCAGCTACGTTCGTATTATGCAACATTGATTCAAACAGCATGAAAGTGACCTTAGCCAATCTCCTTGGCCAGTATTATCATTCTGAGTTATTCCTTAGGGTTAACTTGAATGTCGCATCTGCTACAATAAGCTTCTGGCATCATTTTGAACCAACTACTAACTATACTTCTCGTCGAATGGGTTACAATCGAACAAGATATCTTAGAACGTCATATTGAGTCTATATTACGTTAATTTTGAACTATTATCGCAGCAAAAATTCGGTCCAACCCGATATTAAGTGGGCCCTAATAAAATGGTTAATCGGTGTATGAGAACTGCAAAACATCAGCTAGTCAGAGAACCTGCTTTACAAAACTAACACGAAACGACTGTGATGTATAAATATTACTGTAATATGCACATTTTTAAAATGCTTTCATTTTGTAAAAGTTGTTAACATTGAAAAACATGAGAACTAGATAATCTATATTGCTAACCTAAAAGCGCTGACGATAGAACAACTAAAAATTCCAGTTTCAGTTCTTTTATCCATCTTTTCTTCTGTGTAGAAGTAAAGGAGGAACTGATTTGGTATCTAGACTAGTGTTTCCCAAAGTTGAGCCGTGAAGATATTTCTGGGGGAAGGGGGCGCCAAAAATGGCCCGAAAACATTTTAATTATAAATAAAAAGTAAGCTGATAAAAATTGTGTTGAATTAATTAAATCATACAGTATGTCAAAAGATGTTATTGTTTTTACTGTGGTGTGGTTTTTCAATTATCATGCTAAAGTTATAGGTTGGGAGGCCTCAAACTTTTTTATTCACATCAAGGGAGCCTCAGACTAAAACAGTTTGAGAACCAGTGATCTAGGCTATCCAACAGTGTGGAACAACAACAATGATCAATATGCTTAACAAAAATGCAAACCTTGTGAATCGGAGTTCCCCAGAAATCATTCCAGAAGAGATTGCTAAGTGGTGTCTGGGGCCTCAAATCTCGATTATCTCTTACTGCTGACATATCGTCAAACACAAATCCGCACTGCAGTGAATTTAGGTAGCATATACATGCCGCTAGGGTGACCAAGATGTAATGTTCTGTCTTCACTTTGGTGTACATGTCCTCCTGAAACACAAATAATTGGTAATGTTTATCAATGCAAGTTTTTACTTAATAAAAGTAGCATATCCCAAAAATCATTTAACATTTGATAGTAATAATAATAATATAAAATCACACGTTTCCTAAAAACTGTCTGAGTATACACTGGTGCAGATCCGAAAACATATTTCTGTTGATCCGATTTTTGTCCAGACACAAGTAATTTACACACTGTAATGTTTTCTTCATGTTTAAGCTACGGTAAAAGTGTAGTGTATATTGTTATTGTGCAAACATTTGTTTCTTTCAATTTTATCACTTTGACTAACAAATCTTTTTAATACATTGCTTTGAAGATACTAAAATAAATTAATATTTAAACTATCCCGTCTTTAACAACCACGTGATGTTACCGGAGGGTATTATCTCAGAATAATAACAATCAGCTTTTTTTTCTTTTTTTTTATGGACAAACCACAACTTAAAACAACTTTAATATCAGTGCGTAAGTCATCACCATTATATCTATCTGTATGTTCAAGAGTTTTAATTTGTCAAACTAATAAAATACGCTCCGCGGGCAATATATTTGCATTAAGTTTGATTAATTAGTCCCAGGAGGCAGAAACGGCTGAAAGTCCGTAAGTAAGAGAATCCCATTTATATCTCTATATATATCACCATCAAGTTTGTACGTAATGTCAGGTAACGGGTGTTTATTCTTCAACGGGTAACGTTTACAAGTCCTATGCATGCATTAACGATTGACTGAGCAAACAACTTTAGAATTAAAAAAAAAAAAGATTTCCGTGTGATAGTAATACTAGTACTGTGTTTGTCCCCCGGTGGGTCAGCGATAAGCTTGGGAGATTATTACGCTAAAATGTGGAATTCGTTTCCTTGCGGTGAACACAGCGTAGAAACCATATTATATGTAGTTTTAAACTAAACAAAAACAACAACAACAACAAGCAAACAAATTATGAAGTATTCTGGCTATATTGCATCTTTACCAAGACTAGAAGCCCAGCATGGTCAGGTGGTTAGGGCACTCGACTGGCAACCTGAGAGCTGCGGGTTCAAATCTCCGTCCCACCAAACATGCTCGCCCTTTCAGTCGTGGGGGCGTTATAATGTGACGGTCATTCTTACTATTAGATAGTAAAAGAGTAGCCCAAGAGTTGGCAGTGGGTGGTGATGACTAGCTGCCTTCCATCTAATCTTACACTGCTAAATTAGGGACGGCTAGCTCAGATAGCCATCGTGTAGTTTTGGGCGAAATTCAAAACAAATGAATCTTTTTTTAAAAAAAAAGGATCTGTGAAATTCGAGTGAAACAATCTCTTCATTGATTAAACAGTTCTCTAATCAATCACATTTTTCGAATGTCAGGTTTGTGAAATCTCCTGCAATTATGCAGAAACATAAGTATGTTATATTCAAAAGATTTTGGAGCCTCACAACGTCGTTTCAATACATGTCGCCAAGTCCGTGCATGCTCTATTTCCGTGGTGCGTAAACTGTGGGGCGCGCCATCAAGAGGGCATGGAAAGTCAGTAAGGGCACGCAACTATGACTATAGGAGCATATAAGTCATATCTACAAGTAGAAATTTAAAGAAGAGAAAAACTTAAAACCACCATATAAATATTACTATTATTAAGTAATATTGTATCAACAACTAAAACGCGAAAATTACATGTACAATATATAAACAAATACGTTTAAGTTGGTTTGGTTTGTTTTGAATTTCGCGCAAAGCTACACGAGGGCTATCTGCTCTAGCCGTCCCTAATTTAGCAATGTGAGACTAGAGGGAAGACAACTACTCATCACCACCCACCGCCAACTCTTGGGCTACTCGTTTACCAACGAATAGTGGGATTGACCGTCACATTATAACTCTTACGTTTATGTGGGAGCTGCCAAAGGTACATGTAGAAGTTAATTCCACGTTGAAAGGTAAACAGAAACATTGTGTATTTCGCTCTCTTTCTTTTCATTTTTCAGCGCGAAATTAACCTCTCTTATACACGAATAGTTTTTTATTCGAACAGTTTCATACAAACTGGTAAAAGTTCTCTCTCTCTCTCTAGGCATAGGAAATCCAATATTTAATACTATTTTCCCAAAACACTGCATCTTGCTGATTAGTGGCAAGAATTTGAAATCTGTGAATTACGAAACAAGATAGTTGCCCTTCAAACCACTGATTCTTTCACCTTATAAGTTGAACCGAGTTGATGCTGATAAGTCGTTCCTGAACCTATCTAATTAATATTTCATTCCTCTTTTACGAAATTAAACCTCCATTCTATTTATAGTTTTATCTTTGTATATTTGTTATTTTTGCCGTTAGCTAAAGAAGAGACTTCATTAATTTAGCATAAAATTGCGATTTACGCTGTTTACACGTCAAAGGTATAGTGTTTAAAAATCTAATTTTACTATTACAGGAATTCAAAAGCCTAGGCAGTAATGCTACTCTCTTAATCAGGGTGCAAAGATGTATTAGATATGTTAAATGGGAAGTTCTCATTATCCTAATAATATGATTACGAACCAATGATATGAAAACGTAGCCCGTCGTCACGGCTACTTTCCATGATTTTTCTTTCAAATATTTGTCAGCTTGTTGCTTTCAAGTTTTGGACATTTACTAGTTTGTTTAAGAATGAATAAGTGAGTGTTACATGTCGGCAAAAAAAAATCTAATGTTTCTTCAAGTGACGGCTCAGAAGTAAACAAACCAAATAAAACCTTAAATGATTACAATAATGAAGAACAACTAATTGATGGCTCTGTAGCTGGAGCGATTACTCTCTCGGTTTCTCTTTCTGCTTCAATCGGCACACTGAACATCACACCAAAAACTAAAGTGCGTAAGTACCAGGAGGATTATTTAAGATTTGGTTTCTCTTACAGAATGCATTATTTGTTAACAGGTTTTAGCTAACGACAGCATGAAACCAAATAAACGTACAAGGAATCTGGAAACCAAACACTCTGAACATGTGGGTAAAAACCATCGAGTTCTTCTGGTTCCTGTTTCATCAAAAGCCTCGAAAGCTTTTTAGAAGCATCTTATATACTTGGGAAAAATTATGAAGACAAACAACATAGGAGAAACATTAGTCCTTCCTGCTACCATAAAAATGTGTGCGATCGTACGTGGATAGAGGTACAGTGAGGTACTCAAGTTCATCCTATTATCACATGACACTGTTGCAAGATGTGAATCCCTGCTACCATAAAAATGTGTGCGATCGTACGTGGATAGAGGTACAGTGAGGTACTCAAGTTCATCCTATTATCACATGACACTGTTGCAAGATGTGAATCCCTGTTGACATAAAAATGCGAATTCCACGGTGGAAAAGCGGTAAGCTTACGGAGTTACAACGCTAAAATCCGGGGTTCGATTTCCCGCGGTGTATAAAGCAGATAGCCCAATGTGCTTTCGCGTTAAAAAAAATTAAAAATGCAATTTATAACATCCAGAACAGTCAGAATTTCGCCACACAACTTGATGAAACCACAGATGTTGCACATTTAGCTCAACTCTTGGTATTTGTACGACACTGTTCCGAAGAGGAACTGTGTGAAGAGTTTTCGTTTCTTCTTGTTGATGAGTTTTTCACCACAAATAGTTTCTGTTAGATTGTGTGGGGGTATGAAGTGATGGGGCAGCTGCGTTTATGGGAAAGAAACATTTCATAGCCAAGGTAAGTGCTCTTGCGCCAGGTATAACATTTACACATTACGTCATACACAGGGAACATTAGCTTCAGAGAAATTGCAGCTCGAAACAAAATGCAACAAGATGCCGTGAGCGCTATGAATTTTGTGTGAAATCAAAAGCTTTGAACATCAGGCTGTTTTACATTCTTTCTGGAGAAATGAGATCCATGGACGACAAGCTCCTGCTAGATAAAGACGTGCGCTGGCAATCTCACGGAAAGATACTCAGTTGTATTGTGCAACAGAAAGACGAACTTTATATATATATATATATATACACACAATAGCCTTGATGTGTAGTTCCCACTGTAAAAGGCTACTTCGTAAGAATGTCATGGACGAAGGTTTCACAGCGCCCGTTTCAACAGTCCAATCGCACGTAGGCGCTGCGTCTGGCAAATTGTATATTCAAAATCGTCTTAACATAACGTATTAAACCCTCTGTAAAATATTGATTAAATTCAAACGTATAAGTTCACACTGGAGACTAGAAATCATTAGTAAAATAAATATGACCATACACACTAGATAAATTAAACTTTTAATGTACGTCGGGTACTTTAAAAGTTTTATTGATATGTCAAATATATAACTTATAAACAGCTTACTGAAATTCACTCATCTATTGTAAAAATGTTTGTTTGTTTGTTTCAGAGCAAAGCTATATTGAGCTATCTGCTGTGTCCACCGCTGGGAATCGAACCCCGGATCTTAGCGTTGTAAGTCCGTAGACTTACCACTATCCCACGTGGAGACATTGTACACTATAAACGCATAAAAAAAACACTTCCCCCAGTGGCACAGCGGTATGTCTTTGGACTTTCAACGCTAGAAACCGGGTTTAGATACCCGTGGTGGGCAGAGCGCAGGTAGCCCACTGTGTAGATTTGTGCTTAATTTCAAACAAACAAACCACATGCTCTTACGCTGGTCCATATCTGTGGTGACATATCTTGATTTACCAAATTTCCAGAGGAAAAAAACTTGAACATAATTTTTTCATACCGGGTGACTGTCACAGCTGTAAAACAGTTTAAATTACAATATCACACGTTTATCCATTTGCTAAATAATCTAATATTTATTGCATTGTGTTTTAAGACTGTAGACAAAATTTGTTCAAAGCGTATTATTCAAAAATCACTGAATAAAAATTTAGAAAAAGTGAACATTTTCTGCACGGGAAAAGTATTTGGATTGTGATCTTTAGTAATACACAACTCACTGCATCAAAATGATTCAATATACAGACCTAAAAATTTTCATAAGTTTTACTG